ATATCATTAATACCACATTTATTACATTGAATTCTCTCTCTAAAAATCCGAGATCCTAACTTGGGCGTCGGAGGGCTTGTGCCGGAGAAATTCCGGCGCACTTTCAGGTACCGGAGAACACTGAAGCTCGGACCGGACCGAATCAAGTGAACCAACATCATAACCGGGAAGAACCTTCCGCAAGTCCAAAGCCACCGATCTCGGACCATATCACCTTCAATGATGCTAGCATGTATTTTTACTTGGAATTACAGGTGATTTGTACTTTTACTTTGTAATTTCTCCCTGATAATTATTCTCGGCAATTATGTGCTGATTACACGCTCGGGAATGTAAATGATCATTTTTGCATCTTTTGATTTATGACTGTAATAATAGGACAATTATGGGCTTGTGGAGAACAACAATAGAAGCAGATCATAAGGCTGAATTTGCAGACGAGCAGGTGGATGATGATGAGAAGCCTTTTCTAATTGATGACACTGGATCATATCTGGTCGTTGACGATGCAAAGTTGACCAATGTTATATAGTCGAGCTGCCTCTGAATGTAAGTTGTAACTTATTCCTTCGTATTTTCAGTTCAAGCATCTTTCTTTAGGGTCAACAACTATCTAGTAACTGGGGAGGGCTTTGTTCTTTAAATTCAATTTCAAGTCAAGATTCAATATTTGATTAATACGTGCATATTTTATTATATGGTTTAATTCCACAGCTCAAATAATTGATGAAGATGTTTGATGGAGGAGTTGGAACACAAAGTGGTGACCAAATCTAGCTGTCTTAACTATGTGACAACTACTTGGGACAATTTGATGCCTGACATACAAGAAAGGCACGTTGCTTACAAATTTAACCGGCGGATCTCAATCTTCGGAGGTGATGTTACATGCACGCAGCAAAAATCACCTTTACCGAATAACGTTGGATGGGTTGTCAATGAGATTATGACCCTTCACAATGTCCCGTTTGGCGATCACTTCCGAGTAAGTTCAACAATACATTAAACACCCACAAGTTTTACCTAATCCCAGAATTACAAAATTAACTAGTGTCTACATGGAAGTTTATTTTCTGAAACGTGTAAAAAAAAATCATGTAGAAAGGAAATATATATGAGATATGGAAAACCCTTGAGCTGCATTCTCTAATTTTCTCTTTGCATAAGCAAGTTCAATTCAGATACCAAATCGAAAAATCGATATTTGCGCACAATTCGTGCAAGTTTGATGTTCATATGGGTGCATCGGGGGAGGAGAGGGTGCCTTTAGGTAGGTGAAGTGGGGTTCGATTTGTTTACCCAAGGATCAGGGTGGCCTGGGACTGAATCAAATGCGGAATATGAGGTGATGTGGCTGAGGAATACTAAGTTTGAATCCAGAATTACGAAGAACATGATAGATTGCACCACTAATATTTTGCAGAAATAAATGTAATACAGTACCTTTTTTCTAGCACAAATCATATATTATAGTCTTTTTTTTTTTAATTTGAAATTATAACTGTTAAACGAACCGGCCGAACTGTTCGTGAGAATAACTCGGTTTGGCTCGAGCTTGGCTTATGCTTTTACTTAAACGAGCTGAGCCCAAACAACTACCGATCCTCCCCTACTCTCAATTCCTCTCATCTTCCTCATCTATTATATGTATATTTCAACACTAAATTACATCAACTTCAGCAACAATACAATAAATTGAAATACAAATTAGCTTGCTCACAACAGTTACATATTGGCTATATCATAAGGAAATTTGTGAGCAAAGGTGAAAGTTTTTCAGTTAGGGTTTTCTATCATCCAAAATCTGAGTTATTATTCGAAAGTCGGATCAACAATTCAGATGTGTAATCCATTGATGAAGAATGCCATAACTATAACTCAATA